TACATTTTCCACTTAACACTTATCTGTATATCAAAATAAATGTATTTAGTTTCCCTTCTTTTTTGTTAGATCAGCCACTTTGCCACATGCGCTTGTTTGAGTAACAGAAAGGAGTACCCCTCTTTCTTCAGAACCATCCCTAGTGACTATTATCAGAGCAGAGCCGTGGCCAAATTGGTAAAGCATTTTGGCTGGAAGTGGGTTGGGGCAGTTAGAAGTGACAATGATTATGGTAACAATGGCATGGCAGCATTTATCACAGCTGCACGCCAGGAGGGGGTCTGCATTGAATACTCAGAAGCCATATCAAGGACTGACACCAGTGGGCACATTGCAAAGGTGGTCAGAGGGATAAAAAGTGGCACTGCCAGAGTTTTAGTTGCCTTCGTAGCCCAGGGTGAAATGGACATTCTTCTTGAGGAAGCCCTGAAGCAGAACCTCACTGGGCTGCAGTGGGTGGGCAGTGAGTCCTGGATTACAGCAGGTCATCTGGCAAGTAAGAGGCACTCAGGAATCCTGACAGGGACTCTGGGCTTCACCATCAGAAAAACAAAGATCACAGGCCTCAAAGAGTTTCTTTTGCAAGTAAACCCAGGTCAAGACCCTCATAATAATCTGCTTAGAGAGTTCTGGGAAGCCACATTTGGTTGCAGTTTTCAGTCCGGTCTCCATGGTCAGACCCTGTGCTCAGGCTCTGAGATACTAGAGGACATCAACAATCCTTTTACAGATGTGTCAGAGCTAAGGATATCCGGCAATGTGTATAAGGCTGTGTATGCTGTGGCTCATGCCATGCATAACATGTTAAAATGTGGTGATGCCATGAATCCTCAGTGTATCTGGAAAGATGACTTTGAGCCAAAACAGGTAACAGGTTAATACATTCAGTAAATTATTTGAATACAAAATAAATAATAATCTTACAATATTTCACCACTGTTCTCATTTGGTAGGTTGTGAAACACCTCCAAAGTGTGATTTTCACCCTTCAGTCAGGAGAAAGTGTGTATTTTGATAGAAATGGAGACCCTGCAGCGACCTATGAGCTGGTGAACTGGCAGAGAAATCCAGCAGGAGATACTGTGTTTGTGGCTGTAGGGAGCTACGATGCATCACTACCAAATGAAAAGCAGTTTATAATGAATGGAATAAACACAACATGGGCTGCTGGATCCCTAACGGTAAAAGAGTTTAGTATAACTCATTGTGGAGGTAATTGTTCAAATACATAACTGTTCCCTGAGACATTTCCGTAAATAATAACCAAATTAAAAAGGTTGATTCTCCTCTCAACAAACACATATTTACCTATGTATACTCTATATATTACTGACTGGATTGGCACTTTCAAGTTGTAGATACAGTATACGTGTAAGATTAATG